CTGGCTATATCTGTCTCAAATTTTAATGGACAGAGCTGAGCAGATAAGAATCCCCAGTACGGAAGCAGAAACTGCATACAAAACAAGGGCTTTGAAATGACTTGCCCTCTGAGTCTTATCTTACCTAATTAATGCACAGCCACATGCTAATTATGTAACTTTGGGGACACTATTCACTCCCCTAAGTCCTAATTTCCCAGTATGTAAAATGGAGTAATTATAGCATTTATCCCAAGGTCATATTGAAGATTAGATAATGTGTAGCAAGATGGCATAACATAAAGCAATACTATCAGCCATTATTACTGTAAGAATTTCCAATATTATCCAGACAGTAAGGCCTCAGACTTCCAATTTTTATCTTCTCAATTTTTATCATGACGACAATCAGTTTCCAAAAGTGAGTGTGTTTCATGATAAGTTTGTTCGTTAGACATTTTATAAACCAAACCGTTGAGTAGCCAAGAAAGTTTTGGTCAATTACCTTTTCAAGTTGCAAAACATCCCAGTACTTTTTAGGGGTTGTTGGTTTGTTTGAAAGTACATTGTTGTATGTGCACCTCTAGATGGCTCTGTACCCACTATATAGTCCAGCCTAGCCTAGAATTCATGGTACCCCTCCTGCTTCAGAAACCCCAAAAAATGCTTATACTTTGCCCCCACCACGGAGTCAGATTCAATGCACAGTATTTCTAAAGCAACTTGATCATAAAATGATGCTGGAGACCTAAAAATACACTTTGAGAAATGCTAACAAAAATAATGCTGATCAGATACAGAAAACAAACAGCAGTTTCTAGAGAATGACATATGCTCTTCCTATTTCATTTATTAGCTTCTCACCCACCAGATCTTAATGGAACCTTAATCTCCAAACTCAAGACTTCTAGTTAAATACTCTTGGACTTTTCTTTCATAGCTCTTATAAGCACAGGCACTGACACACTTGAAAGACAACTTGATTAATTTCTGTCACATCTCCCTGCAAATTATAAGCTTCAATTAAAGTAGTGTGTATACATACATACATACATATATACACACACACACACACAATACATAAACAACACACACACACACACGTATTGCCCTTAGCCCTAATTTCTCACCATCTAGCACAATGTTTGATATAAGAGACTAAGAAGCGATGTCTTTTTTTTTTTTTTTGGTTTTTCGAGACAGGGTTTCTGTGTAGCCCTCCCTGGCTGTCCTGGAACTCACTCTGTAGACCAGGCTGGCCTCGAACTCAGAAATTCACCTGCCTCTGCCTCCCCAGTGCTGGGACTAAAGGCATGAACCACCACGGCCCGGCTAAGAAGCGATGTCTTATTATCTACCTTAAGTTAGCCTTAAACTCACAGTTCTAGCCTCCAGAGTGCTGGGGTAACAGGCATGTCCCACCACTTCCAGCTTCAGCTCTTTTTATACAGTACGTAACTGTAAAGAACTCAAATGTTTATTAAATGAAAAGTGGCTAAATAGGTTACTCTTTATTTGTATCATATAATGTTTTACAATAATTAAAAACCTTGAAATTAGCTGACTGTGGTGGCCCAGGCCTGTGATCTCAGTTATTGGGAGGCTGAGGCAAAACTGCCTAGATTACATAAGCAGTTCCAGGCCAGGCTAGTATACAGACTAGTATACAGGTTTCTTTAAAAAAAAAAAAAAAAAAAAAAAAAAAAAAAGGAATTGTTGTTTATTACATGCATCCTATATCATACTTAGATATCTACAAACTGTTAACAATGACTATAAAGGAACTGTAGAAAAATTACTGAGGAAAGTAATCTTTATGTTCTATAAACTTTTTACAATGCTTTCAAAAACTATGCATTTCTTTTAATTAATTAATCTCATTAATTTTCTTAGGCGTTGAGCAACCTTGAATCCACAGAGGTTATCATATAATTATGTTTGGCTCATACTTGTATTGCTCTCTCTCCGTTTGTGTTTATTTGGTTTTTTGAGATAGGGCTGCTCTACATATCCCTGGCTGTTCTGGAAATCAGTATGTAGACTAGGCTGGCCTCAAACTCAGAGAGATCCACCTGCATCAGCCTCAAGTGCTAGGATTAAAGACATGCACCATCACAATCAGTGGCATTAGAAATTCTTCATGACCGCTTCCTACCATCACTTGAGAAAGATGATTTGCATGGCTATGTTCAAAAGTTCCAATCATTCCATTCTCTTAAAAGAAAAAAAAAAAACTTCCTCAGCCCTTTGTGGCAGGTAATGGTCTCTGAAAATCTCCACTCATCCATTTCCCCAGGTCTGCTCATACATCACAGTTACCCTCTACAAAGTCCACGTGTGTCTAGACAAGCCACTTGCATCTCTCTTTTGTTTTGTTTTTGCAGACAGGGTTTCTTTGTGTAGCCCTGCCTGTCATGGAACTCACTCTGTAGACCAGGGTGGCCTTGAACTTAGAGATCTGCCTGCTTGTGCCTCTCAAGTGCTAGGATTAAAGGCATGTGCCACCACCTCCTGGCATGTCTCTATTTCTTAAGAATTTTTATAATGATCCCTATAACCATCTTGATAGGAAAGTTAAGAGCAGAGATAGTAGTAACTCACTATTATAGAATAAAAATGACAGAACTAGTAAGAATGGCAGAACTAGGTCTCTCTTCTGTTAAAGTAGTCAAACGAACTTCTGGAGAGATGAAGAAACAGGGCACCAACAATAGGACAAAAAAACAGTTCTCCCTCGGTCCAGTTCAGTGAACCAGTGAGTTTAACTTTAATTACAATCTCTTACTAAAAAGTGGGCTATTTCCAGGAGCAAGGACAAATGCTGTGTGGCTATCCCACTAAAGGAAATGACTGTCTCAGCATCCATCAATCAACCATAGATAGCTTACACACATACCTGAGGGGAGATGATGCCTCTTAAGTCCCCAACCACTCTGTGACAGACCATTAATAGGCCCAATCCTGTGTCTCGAAGGTAATCACAGGTGCCAAGGGTTCAACAGGTCACTAACCATATCATGTCCAGACAACAATGTTCCATACCACCAGTGTGTTTCATTACACAGCATCTCTTCTCCAGAAAAGGAAGCAAAGCATCTAGACAGAATCAACGTTGCAGTCAGGGAAGAGATTTAAATCTATTTTGATCTCTACTCTTTCCAAACTTGTAAATCAGTGAGCATAAAGGCAAGCCTCTTTTCAGTAAGTTCAGAAAGGGGGAGGTTCCAGAGTTTCGCATGCACCACTTTACTGTTAGGTAAGCCTCATATCAAGCTGAAAGGTCTTTCATCCGCTGACTGTGTTGACTGTTTGGAAGACTAGAACAGGCTTCTTTCCTCTTCAAAAATACGTTCAAATACGAGAAAGGAAACACTTTATTTACATAAGCATCCTAATAAAGCATCTACCGTAGCTAGGCATGGTCAGAAGACTGAAGCAGGAGAATCACACACACCAAGTTCAAGTACATAGCCTATTCTACATAGTAAGACCCTGTCTCCAAAGATTAAAACCAGGTAGAGGTGGAGTGGGAATAGGGGAAGGTTCCCTAACACTCCATTTTTATCTGTCCAGTCTAGAATTTAAAAACTGTCTTTAGAATAGAGAGCTGAGACAACCCAGGGCCCCAATTTCCTTCCTCGCGGGAAAGGTCTAATTAGTGTATCTCACAATTATGTTTAAGTATGGCCTAGTCTTACTTTCAAGGCTCTCCACAGGTTTTAAGATGGCTACAGGGGCAGTGGGAGGAAATTATACTTTACTACTCCCACTGCTGTTTGGGCCAAATTGTGGATTAATCCATTTTTCTTCACCAACTTCTACTCCATAATATTTTCTAAAATACAGGAAAAGCAAGTTTATGGGCCCAGTAGTGTCTGCTAACCCTGTGCTCTGAGGGCCTAACTTAAAAAAACATCCATCCTTATTTACTCTTCGTTGAACTGCCTTTTTTCCTTTTAGCAACTTCTATTGAAATTTGTAATTACAGATCCATCTGCTTAATTACTGTCCATATTGCCCAGAGAACTACAAGCTCCATACAGGTAGAATCGATGTCTTTGAACACTGTTTACCCAGGAGTATAGAACCCTGCACATGAAAGGTATTTATTAAACATCTGAGAAACAAGGAAAGAGAAAAACAGAGTACAAGTTACTATAAATAGATTTCCTTCTTAATGTTTTAAACTTAATCACCTGCTGATCATCTGTTATGTCTCAGACTAGTTACTCTTTTTTTGGCTTCAGAATAATCCTACCAGATTTCTCATTTGAGTCTAAAGTTCACAGAAATTACTAAATTACTCCAAGAAATAAACTTAGGACATTTGAGCTCTTGTTTATGCAAATATTAACTTTAACTGATGTAAAGCTGGCCTCCAGGATAACTAAAGCCGTCTATCCGCTCCCCATTCAGTTATGGGGAAGGGGATACCTATCCACAGGGGAAAAAAAAATCACTAGTCATACAAATCTCAAGTGACCTAAAGAGTCTGTGTTTTCTTCCAGTTTACAGAAGTCCCGCTAAACTAAATAACTGTATAAACACACATTTTTACACACGCCAAACAGTTTGCTCTCACAATCTCAACACAAAACTGAAATAACATTTTGTTAATGAGGAGAGTGACGTGAAGATCGTACCCCCTACAAACTTATGGGGTGGGGAGTTTTCGAAAAACAGTCGCTGCAAAGACACACTCGGGCGAGGGCCTTCGCGTTCTTGTTGCAGGGACTTGACACAGATGGGAGCATCAGAAGCCCCATCGGTACCTTAGGTTGGATGAACTCAGGCTGCCCAGTTCAGTCTTGGCGCCACTAGTGAGATGTGCTGACCATCAGATGTATTCACGGAACAGAGCCAAGCGAAAGAAAGGGCGTGGGAAGAATATTTTAGACACGGTTGCACTGCAGACAAGAGTAACTGGGCTGCAGTCCACGCTCGCCAACTCTTCTCCTTTCCTCTCCCCTTCCAATCACTCTTTCCTGGGATAGCAGTCAGTATAACAGGCAGGGGCCTACCTTGGTCTGAACACTCTTATCAAATTTGTCATTTTTGAAGGTGAACGTATTCTGGTGCTTCTGAGGACGGGATCGAGTCACGTTGCCTTTCTGGGAACTCATCACCAAATCTCAAGCACCATAAGTCGGTGCAGCCTTCAAGTTACAGGAAAGGGTAAAGAAGTTCCCGCCCCGGGTTGAGACTATCAACAGTGACCCGGAAGAAGTTCTTCTACTCTTTCCGTCCCAGCCCCAGGTTGGCCCACGTGACTCCTTAATGAGGTCACGCTCCGCTCTCCCCTGCCGCGCACCTTAGACAACCCTCTTCGCCGAAAGCCTTCCTCAGACCCGAGGTCCAAGTCGGGCTTTCTTCGAATCTAGAACTCCCCCATTGGTTCGAACGCGGCTGTCCATCACGGCGGAGGGGCGGAGATCCACCTTTTCTATTGGCTCTTCTTTTCCGCAATCCCCGCCTCCTGCCGAACGCTCCCAACCTCTCCCTGGCTCCGTAGCTTAGCGACTCCGCTGCACAGTTTGTGATTGGTGGAAGGTGGGCGAGGCCGGTGCCCTGCCTGCCTGCAGTCCCGAGCCCGGGTCAGCTTCGGCGCCCTCCTTCCAGTCAGTGACCAGCTCGAGCCGGGCTGCGCGCCACTCGTTCCCCGCGGCCCTCCCAGCTCCCGCCCGTCGCGGCCGCGCGCTCCGCCGCCTGGCGGGCTTAGGAGGTGCCAGGGAAGGCGGGCTGCGGAGAAGGCAGCGCCGGCCCTGTGGTGCAGACAGAGACCACGGCCGCGCGGAACCTCGGACTGGAGAGCCCCGGCGGTTGCAGCCCCTCGCGCCGGGGCCGTTAGTCAGCAGAACGCGAACGCGCGTGGAAAGGCCACACGAAGCGTGCCCGGGCACCGCAGCTCTCGTTCGCGTCCGGGCCGGGCCGCGCGCGCGGAATCGGCGGGCGGCGCCCCGCGGAGGACAGCGCGTTGGCGGCCGCGGCCGCCCAGCTGCAGGTGCGTGTGGCAGGGCTGCTGGGCCGTCGGGGGGTCGCTGCTCTGCGCTGGGGACCAGGCCCGGTGGCTCCGGAGCGGAGCTACCGAGCGGAGACCCGTGCGTCCCGGGCCTCCTTGCCCGCAGGGAGGACCGCAAGATGGGGTCGGGCTCCGCTCCCCTCCCTGGATCTGGGCCACTTCGGGCCCTCGCTCTCCGCTCGGTGTCCGGGTCCCGCCAGCCTGGATTTTTAGATGTAGTCCGCTCGGAGCTTGAGCTGGGTATCCCGCTCCGACTGTCGCGGGAGCTGCTTTCAATGGCTTGAACTTCTATCATCTCTGGTTGAGAACTCAAGGAGGTTGGATTTGAATTGAAAGTTGGAGAGTTGTGTTTGAAATTGTATTTAATACTAAACCGGGAGAGTTGTGTCAAATTAGATTATAATGTGTGGAGGACGTTCAGAGAGTTTAACCTTCCTCCGCTTCTTGTTTAAAAAGAAAGAAAGAAAACGTTCAGAGCCTTAATCTTGGTGAGATTTCTGTCAGAAGCAGAATATTTAGTTCCATCAGTGATGCTCTGATTTAAGGCAATGCGAAGCAGATTTGGTAAGAAAGGATTAGAATAACGGAGCCCCGCGGAAAGGGTGACCTTTAAATTTTTTCTGAGAGTTTATGAAAGGTATTTCTTGTGCAGTCTATAGTGCTTGATCCCTAGATTTACATTTTTCAAGCTTCATTGTATAAAAAGAATTCTGGACATCTTGGGCCAGTATTTGAAACTAGTAAGTCTTGAGTAGAACATCAGGTGCGGTTTGTGATTGACATTCATTAGTTTACATTAACGAGGATTTTCAATAAACACTTTAGAGAATTTGTGTCCATATACTTGGCGCATGGATTCAGTTGGGTAATACATATTCTCGTGGCCAATGCAGTATTTTGAATATGACCATTATTATCCAGTGCCCATGCTTGTTACTAAATTTTATTTTGGGAGAAATAAACCGAAAACAGAGAAGGCCACAGTGTTGGGAATTGAAAATGGATACAGTATCTGCTGTACCTTCGTTACTGTTTCAGATCTAGGAGGAAATAAGTAGCACCCTCACCCGTATTTTGACCTCTCTTTTCTCCTACTCTAGTATTAATAAGGCTAATTGGCAAGGATAGGATTAGATTTTCAGCAGGCTAGAAAGCTTTAAATTTGTCCCTTGGTGTACAATGCCCTGGTTGATACGTGTGGCTTGTTTACTTGAGTACCATCGCTCATTTTGCATTGTGGATGAAACGACAACTGAAAAAGTAGTGTCTTGCCCACCCCAACACATAGACTTACTGTAAAGTACTAGGGCAAGATAGTGTTTTAGTACTCTGAGTAGAATGAGGCAGTTAGTGCTTGGTCCACAGTCTATCACCGAATTGATCTACAACTCCAAGCATGCAGTGTTAGGCTGAATCAGTGCCCACATTAGCAATATAGAACTATTAAAATGTGCCACCTGCTTAGGAGCACTTGTTGCTCTTGTAGAGGACCTCTGTTCCCTTCCTAGGACCCATACTCTGGCTCATAACCATTGCTAACTCCAGTTACAGGGGATCTGTCACCCTTATCTGATCTCCATGGACACCAGGCCTGGTGCATATAACATGCACGCAGACAAAACAGTCATACACATAAAAAGAAATCTTAATCTCTTTGATTTAAAACTGTTGGACCTGCTGAGTTTTTAGAGGTATTGATTGATAAACACTTTTGTGAGTGTTAGTGTTGATGTTATGGCAGTGTTCACAAGGAAATTTAGGTTTATTGACTTCGTTGGTTTATTTCACTTCCACTCAAAAATGATTTCTCTTGTAATCCTCAAAATAATGTCTCCATTTCCTACCCTGTTAAGAATCTCTCACTACATTGCCTGGTCGGCCTAAACCTTTTGAGCTGGAAAAAATGGCTTTCCAGCATTTACATATTAAGTAAATAAAGACAAGAGAAATTAATTACTTAAATAGCCTAAAGTTAGACGGTAAGAACTGAGACTTGACGGGCTGGAGAGATGGCTCAGTGGTTAAGAGCACCGACTGCTCTTCCAGAGGTCCTGAGTTCAATTCCCAGCAACCACATGGTGGCTCACAACCATCTGTAATGGGATCTGATGCCCTCTTCTGGTGTGTCTGATCACAGCAACTGTATACTCACATTCATAAAATAAATAAATCTAAAAAAAAAAAAAAAAGAACTGAGACTTGAACCCACATCTTTTGACTTGTCTTCAATTTTTGGTGTTGAAACAGTCTTCCATGCTCAGTTTATTTTACTCAGTTTGTCTTTAGTCTCTGCAGTTTCAATTTGGTGACCTAAAATTTCATGAGGATTCATGTACCTTTCACCTAGTGGAAGAAATACAAGGGCAAGTCGAAAGGATACTTTCTCTATGTCTTATAAATTCTCTCAAATGCTACTCTCTTTCTCCCACACCAACTGTTAATCTTAAGTTGCCATGGCTCCTTGCTGTCAGTGTTGATATAAGCAGCATCTAGATCCCTGCTGAATGAGTGTGTGTGTGTGTGTGTGTGTGTGTAGTTTTGATGCTCTTAAATTTATTTGACCATGATGTTTAAATTTTCTGTAGCTTGTTTTCTCATCCATATTTTCCCTGTATTTCTGTTTTGTTTTCACTGCCCTATGGTTACATACAGATGTCCTATGACCAAGTCTGTATGTAACAGCAGTCTCAAAAGTATATTGCTTAGTGGTGTCCTTGGAGTCTTTCTGTAAGTATATTCTGGCATTTGCATAAGAAAATTGTCTGACAATAGGGTTTTGAAAATATCTCGCCATCTTGGTTTTTTAATACAGAGACCCTCAGCAGCCCAAGCTGACCTTAAACTTGAGATTCTCAACCTCAGCTTCCCCATTGCTGGGATCAGAGGCAAGCACCACCAACTACCAGCACGTCTTCTCATATGTGTATGCAAGATATCACCAGTTGTTGGTTCTTGCCCCTATATCCTCTTTTTATAAAAAAAGCTTGAACAGTTTTTTTAGTGCTCTTAGTAAAAACCAAAGTAACTTGTGTTTCCTGATCAGTACTTGAACTGCTACACTCAGACTTTGCTCCTGTGTGTTGCTATATCAACAGCATCAGAAGCACCAGGGAGTTTGTTAGGTCTGCAGTGCCTCAGGCCCTGACCCACCAGGTTAATGGGATTGCAGGATCTGTGTCCACACTAAACACTCAGTATTGCTAGAGTCAGGAGCTCTGCACCAGTGGGTAGTATCACTGTCAGCACAGTTGCTGTCACTGTTCGTTCTGATTGTTCTACTGAATTGCTTTCAGACACCAAAAGCAGCACTGAGGCAGACAAGTGATCTGCTAAAATAACAAACTTTCTCCTTAAAGTTTGAGCAAAATAGCATACACTCTTCCTTTTTCCACACTAGATAAATTATTTAATGTCATCATGTGTTGAAGATATATATATATATATATATATATATATATGCACACACACAAACAATATAACTAGACAGTGAGTATATTTTTAGAAATATCCGACCTTGGAGTTGGTTTTGTTTTTTTCTCCAATTTTCCAGTGAATGTGGAGTAGAAAAGTTAAAACTCATGGAACTTGAACCAACATTATCTTTTTCTAGTTTGTTTTGATTTGTTTTCATTGAAGGGGTGTAGGTCTAGGGACTTAACTGTGTATCCTAGACTGGCCTTGTACTACTGATCTTCCACAACTAAGTAAAAATCTAGTAGCATTATTTTCATACAGGGAAAGTACTTGCCTTCCCTGGCTTTTGGGTTAGTGGTGCTTCCTTCATGGTACCTGAACACTGTCATTAAGAATGATTACCCTAGTCCATAAATCTATAGTAGATTGGTAGATCACAGGGTCTGAGCTTTTCCTTATTAGATAACTGCCAATTTTCTGTCCAGATTGGTTGTGCCAATAATAGATGAAATCGATTTTCCATTTTATTGATACTTTAGACTTAATTTTTGCCATTCCAAGGACAGATGGTATTTGATTCTAGTTTCATTCCTATCTCCTAATTATTTGTATTGTTGGTAATTGTTTGATTTATTTTTATTTGTTGGCCATATATTATTTTTCTGTGATTTTTTTTTTTGTCAATTTTACTTTATTGATTTTCTGTGTAACAGATTGGGGTTTTGAAGATACCTTCTTCCACTCTTTAGCATGGCTTTCACTTTGAATAC